AATGTTACTTGTTAAAATAAATGATGATTTCCTATTAATTTTTATATTTCTCATCCCTTGTGTGGTAACTTATATTGTACCTAATATTTAGCTAATAATTAAATGAGTTAATTTATGTACAGGTTTTTAAATTACTTTGTAGGTCAGATGCCTATTCCTACTCAACTTTGTTGACTTTGTGGTACCTAAGTCTCTGAATTCTAGCTTATCCCTCCGTATTTTCAGGGAATTAATGTGCAACAAGTTCACATAATTAGTCATATCAGGAATTAAAACACTTGAAATTAAGTTTTCAAAGTGACAAATACTTAGACCAAGATGATGGAAGGTTTTTTTTTTTTAAATTTTAAAATAATTTAAGTCTTTAACACTACTTGATGGGAAGGAATAGCATGACCAATTTCTGTCTTAAGTGAAGAATGACAAGGTTAGTAGAGATAGACCAAGCTAAATTTATTTTGACACTTGAAGAAATAGGGTTTTTCATTTGTATTTAAATAAAAAACTTAAATGGTATTGTTTAAGTGAAAAATGGGCACCTCTCTAGCAGAAAGTAAAAGCAAGAATTAGTGGCAGATGGTGCTCATTGAGTTTACTCATCAAGGCAACAGAATTGTCAGAATTGCTTTTCTTACTCATAAACTTTTCTACAAGCCTAGACTTTGTGAGATCATTGGAGCAAGTTGTAAATAATTTCCTTTCTTCCACTCAAACACTAATTGAGACTATTCTGCTTTATATTTAAGTAGAATTTGATACATAAAGATACACAAAGAATTTTCTGTGATAGAAGTTAAAGTCTGATTTTCTTCTGAAAACCCATAATATGATAATTCAGGAGAATATAGATTTTAATTTTTCCTTTTGTTTGAAGCTTATAATAATAACTCAAGAATCAGTGATGTGTTTAGTATGCTTACTCTGGTGAATTATGAAAATTGAATTACTGACTGCACATCTAGGTGTTATGGATGGATCATTTAGATCAGTCTATGAATGAATCTTTGTATATTTTATGAAGATTTCAAATAAAACACATTGTTCATCTTAACTGTCAACATAGAATGACTATATTCCAGGGGGAACATTAGGCAATATAATCTCAAACTCCTCATAGCTTGATGTTTTATCAGTGGCTCAATTTATAGGAGCTATACTTACAGAGGATTGCCTGAGGAATGTGGACTCCCATTTATTTATCTACATCAGGAACTCTTAATCTGGGAGCTTTGGATACATTTCAGAGAGTTTGTTAACCCCCTGAAATTATAGCCCTAATTTTGGGTGTATGTGTCTCCTCCTGGCAGTTGGTGCCTTGCTCTTACAAAATTCTCAACGATATCCATATTTATCTATTGTTTTAAAAGATTTTATTTATTTCTTTGAGAGGGAGAGTGAGGGAAGGGAGGGGCAGAGGGAGAGGGAGAGAGAATCCGAAGCAGACTCTGCTGTGCAGCTCTACATGGGGCTTGATCTCACAACCCTGATATTGTGATCTGAGCTGAAATCAAGAGTCTGACACTTAGCTGACTGAGCCACTCAGGCACCCCAACAAGATCCATATATAAAAATGGTTAAGGGGGCGCCTAGCAACAATCAGTTTGTTTTCTGTATTTATAAGTCTGATTCTGCTTTCTGTTTGTTTATTCATTTGTTTTGTTTTTTTTAGGTTCCACATATGAGTGAAATCACATGGTATTTGTCTTTCTCAGTCTGACTTATTACACTTAGCATCTATGTTGTCCATCCATGTTTCACAAATGGCAAGATCTCTTCCTTTTTAATGGCTGCATAATATTCCTGTGTGTGTGTGTGTGTGTGTGTGTGTGTGTGTGTGTGACATCTTTGTCATCCACAGAACGCATCTTTTGAAGATTGTTATTTTCTTAGTATGATGCCACCAGCCTATTTTAAAGAATATTTCAAGAGTCATATCATGCCATTCATTCATTCACTCATTCATTCAGTTAATATACAGAAAGCACCTAGTGGGTGACAGGCAGGCTTCTATGTGTGAAGGATATAATGATGAAAAGGAAATAGTAAAAAGAATCTCTTGGTCTAGTGGAGTTTACATTCTAGTGGGGAGAGTTAGACAATAAGCAAGAAAAACAGAAGTCATATTCACATTAGGTAGTGTGATAAGTGTGTTAAGGAGAAAATTCAGCAGTAACAGCAGATATGCATGTGGGGGTAGGGAAGGTGTTGAAATTTTAGATGGGCTAGTCAGGAAAGGCTCCGAGAAGGTGACTTGAACAAAAGAAGAGCAGTAGTTGATGAGGTCAGGGGGGCACTCGAGATCCAGGACATCGTAGCTCCGTGCAGGACTCAGACTTGTACTCAGAGTGAAAAGGAGAGTACTGTAGAGTTTGGGGCAAGACAGACATGATGTAGACCACTCTGGATGCTGCACTGAGAATAGACTGAACTGGAGAGGAGGAAGGGTAGCAGCAGGGAGAGCAGTTAGGAGGCACTGTTGACTGTCCAGGGAAGAGATAATGGTGGCTTAGAATAGGGTACTAGCAGTGGAGGGGCTGAGGAACTGTTGAATCGTGTGAAGTTTCCATGAAAGTCTAGTACTTTTAGGATGTTCATGAGGATGTTAACCTGTTTTGAAGTTACTCAGGCAAAAATTTCTTTCTGTTCTTAGTGTTAGGATTATTTGAACATTTCCCCAAAGCTGTTGGTTTCGTTTTAAAAGTACTCTGAAGGGGCACCTGGCTGGCTCAGTCAGTAGAGCATGCAACTCTTGATCTCGGGGTTGTGGGTTCAAGCCCCATGTTGGGTGTAGAGATTACTTAAAAGTACTCTGAATTTATAGTTGAACAATTTGATCATAAGAAAGCATAAAAGAAATTAATAGTTCATCTTTAAAAAGTGAATTTAACTGAATGGTATTTTGTATATTATACTTATTTTGGTCGTCTTACCATTAGTTTTCCCTTTGCTTGGTTTTTTTCCCTCACAGTTTAAAGATTTCTGCCTTTTTTTTTTTGGTATTATTTGTGTTTTTGTAAACCTCTTTATATGTTCCTTTCTGGTACAGTGTAGGGTCATATAAATATTTGCCTCATTGAGTCTACATCAGGGACCATATTTCACACTCTCTTCAAGGTTGCATCTATGCCCTTTTCATTTTTGTGATTGTTTCTCTGTTATGTAAGAGTGAAACCTGCCTGCAAGAATTCAAACCATAAGAGCAGTTTGTGTTTTGCATGGAACATTAAATAAAAGAACGCTTGTCATATAAGATAAAACAACTGATCTATTTGGTCATTTGACTCAGCAGATCAGTTGAGTTAAAAGTGAGTCAAATCAATTGTTAGACTGAATTATTTGCCACCAGTTGGTTCGTTCAAAACACTTAGTCTAATGATATGTTGTATCTATGACACATCCTGACTATGAAACTTGCGTTTGGGTTTATTTTAGAAGATATTTTAAAAAAATTTTTGTTTAAATTCCAGTTAGGTAACATACCGTGTAATGTTAGTTTCAGGCATAGAATTTAGTGATTTAACACTTCCATACAACAGCCGGTGCTCATCACAACAGGTGCAGTCTTAATCCCCATCACTTATTTCATGCATTCCCCCCCAGGAACCTCCCCTTAGGAGAAAATTTTACATCAAAAACAGGTATCAAAAAATTCATATGATTCGATAATGAGGAGTCCAAAGACTCAACAGATGTTTAGAAATCCTAAAGACACATTGTGATATCAGTGTATAAAGAACCAAACTTCTGACGAAAAACCGAGAGGCTGAAAAACAAATTTATCAGACTGTAAAATGTTTATGCTCATCCGTTTTCTTCCTGAGAGTTATTAAGTCGGGAACTAAACAAACATGTTTTCCTGTTTACTCATCACATGGTACCAATTCTCAGATATGACTTATGAGATATGTTTCTCACTTCATATTTTATAATATTCTTTGTGGTAAAGCTGTGACTTCTATTTTAAAATAAAATCTCTCAGAATCATGAGAAGCTCTGAAAGGGATTGTAGAGCTCATCCATCAGGGGGATTTGTACACGAGGAACCTGAGGTCTAGAGTGTTGAAGTCCCAAGTCCTACAGCTGATTAGTTGAAGACACTAGATTGGCACTCAAGACTCCTGACACCTAATTCAGAGCTTTTTTTTTTTTTTTTACCTCAGATTAACTTTGTGTAGTGAACTGAATCCCCAGTTTGAGATAACAAAAAACACTGGAACAACAAAAGCCTTTAGGCTTTCATTACAAATTGAAGCCCAATATATTAAAATTATGCTGCTGTTCTAATTCATGATGTCCTAGTATGAATAATCTTATTCAAGATGTATTTCAAATTGAGTAGACTTCATGGGAAAGCTTGTTTCTTGAAGTCACCCTATCATTTGCATATATTAAGCCATCAACCTTTCCTGAGATTACTCTGATAACTCTCCAGTGTGTTAATGCATCGGTAGATAAACACTTGGGGTTTCCAAAAGCATACAGGGAAATTTCCTCCTCTTTATTGGAAATAAATATACAGTCATTACCTGTGCTGTTAACTGTTTGGCTTTGTAGTATCACAGTAAATATAATGGCTTTAGAAAATAAGAGAAATTTAAGAACTGAGTATAAAAAAATTAATGTTAGATTGTGTACATATTGAATCAAACTTATGAACACTTTTGTTTAGTTAAAAATTTGGTCTTATCCTGTGATGCCTGTCCTGGTTTGTCATGGCCTAAAGGAACATTAAAAATTTTTTGAATATGCCATATATGAAATTGTGGCTTATATTTTAACTGTGAGATAGCACGTGCATGGGAATGAATCCGTAATGTCTAGCCATACTTTCATGTGAGACAGTTCTCTGATATTGACACAGAGTATTATACAGGATTAAAATTTAAAGACTTATTCATAATCCTTTTCCTTTTCTATTTCCCCAGACAGCTTGTATAGATAGATGTCAGGTGTTTTGTGTGTTGTGTGTGTGTATTTGTTTTAGATGTACTGTTTTTCAGGTCTACTTCTCTGAAGTAAGATGACTTGTCAAAATTTCTGTGTGGCTTTGTTACATTGGGGTAAGTAATTAGCTTTTTAAATGTCCATATATAAGAGATTTTGCCCTTCGGGATCCTGTTTCTTTTATTGGCTAGCAGAATTTCCTCTGTCTGCAGTTAGAAATTCTCATGCTCATGATTGAAAATACAAACCAAACAAAAGTGTAAGTGTGAAAATGAAAACCCTTCTCAGTCTCCTGGGACCAACCTGATGTGTAGCTTTCCAGAACTATAACACACACAGACATACACAATTCGTGTCTATGGTTGCAAAAATAGAATTGGTCTATATCTATTGTTCTGTGTTTTTCTGCTTAATAGCTCTTCAATTTAGCATGACAACTTTTTTTTTTTTACTGAGTACTTACTGATATGCTTATTCATTTAATGGTTGCATAACAAAGAACTTATGACTGTACCTTAAATTATTAATTTACTTGGCCAATTCCCCATTGATAGACATTTCTTTGTCTGTAGCAAATAATGCTGCATTGAAATCCATACATATATCTTTGTATATTTGGGAGAATATTCCTGTTGATTAATTATTACAGAGGACTTTCTATGTTAAATAGTATGCACATTTAAACATTTGATAGGTACTGTGAAATCTTCCCCACAAAATTTTGTACCATTTCAGTACCAACACAAAGTACATGAATGCTATATCCATTGCATTTCTGTCAAAGATGTATATTATCATTCTTCCACGTTTCTGCCCTGTCAGATAAGGAAAACATGACATCTCATTTCAGTTTTATTTACTTGATTATTTGTGAGGTTGAGGACTGTTTACTGACCATTTATATTTCTTTTTTTTTTAAAGATTTTATTTATTTATTTGACAGAGACACAGCGAGAGAGGGAACACAAGCAGGGGGAGCAGGAGAGGGAGAAGCAGGCTTCCCGCTGAGCAGGGAGCCCGATGCAGGGCTCGATCCCAGGACCCTGAGATCATGACCTGAGCTGAAGGCAGATGCTTAACGACTGAGCCACCCAGGCGCCCTGACCATTTATATTTCTTATGCAATTTTCTAAATCATGTACTTTGACCATTTTGTTGCTGGATTTTATTTTCATGAGTTTTCAAAATTTCTAAAATGTCACTGATATTTAGTACTGTATTAGTCAGGGTTCCCCAGAGAAACAGAACCAGGAGAATTTATAGAGAGAGAGAAAGAGATCTATTATAAAGACTTGGCTCACAAGATGGTGGAGGTTGGGAAGTCCCATGACTGCAGCTGCTGGCTGGAGAGCCAGGAGAGCTGATGGGATAAGTTCCAGTCTGGATACTGCAGGCTTAAGACCCAAGAAGAGCTGATGTTTCAGTTTGAGTCCAAAGGAAGGAAAAGACTGATGTCAGTCAGGCAGCTGGAGTTCCCTCTAACTTAGCCTTTTTGTTCTATCCAGGTCTCCGATTGATCGATAAGGCCCATCCATGTTAGGGAGGGCAATCTGCTTTTCTCATTTTACTGATTCAAATGTTCATCCAGAGCATCCTCACAGACACACCCAAACTACTGTTTGACCAAATGACTGAGCACCCCATGGACCTGGACAAGTGACACATAACCTTAATCATCACAAGCCCCTAACAATTTATTATGTTTTGCAGATTTTTTCTTCCTGCCCATTGTTTGCTACTTAACTTTGTTTTCTTTTACAGTACAGAAAGTTTATTTATGTACACTAACACCCTTATACATGTGTAGAAACAAGATATGGTGACACTTGAATGTTTTAATTTTAATTTAGTAAATGTAGCATTATTAAATTATAAATGTATATATATCAGATGATAGTCAAAACTAATTCTCTGTATCAAGGAGCAGTTTACGTGGTGGTAGTATGTAAAATATATCGCTATGACACAAAATAATGGATTTATTCTCAAATGGAAGGGAGATGCCATTTTAAATGCTATTCTACATTTTAACTGCAGTAGACAATGACAAGTGTAATGTTATAAGAGGATATTATCAAGGGATGACGTTTACATTGAAAATTTCCATCTTGAATACCACCAGAAGAAGAATTGAATGTATACTAGTCTTCCTCCTACCCACTGCAGGAATATCCTCAAGAGAAACCTTACAGATGATTTTCTAATTTCGTGATTTTAACTACTGTGAACCATAGCATGCTTCTGTTTGAAATTAGTCACCCATTGCCAATGACTTTTTAAAAAAGATTTTATGTATTTATTTGAGATAGAGAAAGAGCATGAGTGGGGGAGGGGGAGGGCCAGAGGGTGAGGGAGAAGCAGACTCCCCACTGAGCAGAGAGACCGAGGCCTGGCTCCATCCCAGGACCTGGATCATGACTTGAGTGGAAGGCAGACACTTAAGCAACTGAGCCACCCAGGCGCCCCACCAATGACTATTAAGCATACTATTCTCACTTGTTTTTACTGCATTGTAGAGATATTTTGATTTAAAAAAAAAACACAAAAACCTCAAATCATCTAACTTAGGCTGTGTTCCAAGTATTTTAAAATTAAAGTCAGGCTAGGGGCGCCTGGGTGGCTTCAGTTGGTTAAGCGTCTGCCTTCAGCTCAGGTCATGATCCCAGGGTCCTGGGATCGAGCCCCGTATCAGACTCCTTGCTGAGCAAGGAGCCTGCTTCTCCTTCTCCCTCTGCCTGCATCTCGCCCAGCTTGTGCTCTCTCTCTCTGTCAAGTGAATAAATACAATCTTAAAAAAAACCTAAAGTCAGGCTATTTTTAACAAAACCCATTTTATCTGGCAACCATATTGGGAGATGATCCAGCTGTCCACCTGTGTGTTCTAAGCATCTCCTTGGCTAATCCAATCTGAAGGTGCTCTTATGAGTTTCTCTACAAGTCTTCCTTGTGCATACTGTTCATTCTCCTTGTAGCCATCTATATATTTACAGAAAATACCCAGCATAACTCCACTGTTAACAGATTTCAAAAAAACGATGCCACAAGGGACTATCAAAAAGTAACAACATACTCATTCTCTCTTATATTTTCTAATTTTTATTAGGCTCCACTCAATGTGTTTCACATTGGCTTTTTGTTGTTTGATGAAGTTTTGTGAATCAGAAGAGGTCTTGGGATGCTGTTACCATGATAACATATGCCTTCAGATAAAATTCTGGACTCCTGGCTGTTTAGGGTTCATCTGGAGGGAAAGAAATATTGTTTGCAAAAGAAGCATGCAAAATAGAACCATCTTTTAATTAAACTGATTCAATAGTTGCTATGTCTATGACATTCATTATTACATTTTACATTTCAAATACTTCCTTGAGGATTTTAGGCTCATTTCAGTTCAGCCAAATGAATATTCCATGTGCAGCTAGAAAATGTGCTTTTAATTAATACCAACAAATATTCATAGTTTTGTAAAATCAAAGAAATGACCTATTTTTATTGACATGTGCTAATTTCAGAAACGTATGTTAGAAAGATGAAGTCCAAAGGAACACAATTATAATGAGGAGTCACTTTTGGTGATATTATGATACCTAATTGTTATCAGTGTGGGAAAAGTATTAGTCATGTTAGTTATGTTTGCTTTAATTTTTGCATCTGATACATTTTTATGTTAGTTTATTTTTATGGAGAAGTTTAGAAATCAAACTTTAACAGTCATTACCTATATATTGTTTAGATATTTTCATATATATTACCTTTATGATTTAAAACATTTTCTGTGAATTGATTTTTTAACAATTGCTATTTTCTTACATTTTTACATTTACCCTAATTCTTCAGAATTCTCATTCCATGAAAATCCATGCAAAATTCTCCAAATTCTGCTTTGGTTTGTATGTGAGGCAACAGGGCTGTTGAATTGTATGAGTAGCTTGTAAAAGAAAGAATTAATGAGAATTAATTATTATTTAATTTTCAAACAGTTACTTATTAAAAAAACAAGTACCACTTTTGAGAATTTTTTGGGTTGAGATTATATAATTATTCTTAATTTTTATATGTTGAAAAAGTGAGAATTGTCTTTAATCAGCAATGGAATATTCCTGTCATTGTACATTGATTCTTGGAGAGTGCATTAAAGACATGTCTTAGACAGTGTCATATATCTGAGGATCATGGGTAGATTCAAGAGATTATCCAGCTGTCCTGATACTGAAGAAAAACCCTTTCTAAAAACACTTGTAGAGCTAACATTTTGGTATTATTTCTTTGAGAAATATTAAAACAGCACTTTAATATTTGCTTATATAATTGCACATCCAGATATTTCCCGCTTATACTGGAAGTTCATTAGAATAATTTTTTTAGAAAAAGAAACTGAAATATTTAGCTATAATTTTTTCATTAAAATATAAATATAGAAGGCTAAATTAATCAGGAAAATGAAGCATGAATTTCCAAAAAGAGGTGCTAACGGATGAAGTTATCTCAGTAAATTAATGTACCTTCCATTGTATAATGGAAGCACAGAGCTCTGCATCAGGCACAGATTGAACAAGTAGAAATTTAAATAATTGAGCACTACCTGGTTTAATCTTAGATACTTCCTATTTGTGTCTTAGTCAAAATGATTGTTTTTCTGTGTGCCTTTTTAATATCCTAACAGAATTTATTTATTTGACAACTGCATTTAACTTGGCATATCCGATCACTCCCTGGAGATTTAAGCTGTCTTGCATGCCAACAAATACAACCTATGACTTCCTCTTGCCAACCGGAATCTCAAAGAATACTTCCAATTTGAGTGAACATTATGAGGCAGTTGTTGAAGCTAAATTGAATTCGAGTACTACCTACTTTTCTAACTTATCTTCCAAAACAACTTTCCACTGTTGCTTTTGGAGCAAGGAAGATAAAAACTGTTCTGTACATGCAGACAACATTGAAGGGAAGGCATTTGTTTCAACAGTGAATTCTTTAGTTTTTCAACAAATAGGTAAGTATATTGATGTTCCAGGCATTACCTATTAACTGTTTTAAACAAAATGTTTTCATTCTCTGAAACCTGTATGAAATAGATGTAATATGGTTGGGATTCTTATTTTTTTTTTTTTTTTTTTTAAAGATTTTATTTATTTATTTCAGAGAGAGAGAGAATGAGAGATAGCACGAGAGGGAAGAGGGTCAGAGGGAGAAGCAGACTCCCTGCTGAGCAGGGAGCCCGATGTGGGACTCGATCCCGGGACTCCAGGATCATGACCTGAGCCGAAGGCAGTCGCTTAACCAACTGAGCCACCCAGGCGCCCCATGGTTGGGATTCTTAATACATTATCATCATTTTGTATTAGTAATAAAATTATGATTCATCATGTGACCAAACTAATGAGCCCCAAATTATTTTATATCTTATAAAAATGCAATGAGAGAACTCTTTTTACCTATAAATCCATTTCTTGTAATCTTCTAAATTTGCTTTAAAATAGAAAAAGCACACCTCATTTTGTTGAATAGATAAAATATTCAAAATATTCAACTGTTGGGTGTGCCTGGGTGGCTCAGTAGGTTAAGCGTTTGCCTTCGGCTCGAGTCATGATCTCAGGGTCCTGGGATTGAGCCCCTTGTTGGGCTCCCTGCTCAGTGCGGAGTCTGCTTCTCCCTCTCCCTCTGCCTTTCCCCCACCCCGGCTCATGTTCTCTGTCTGTCTGTCTGTCTGTCTCTAATAAATAAAATCTTTAAAAAATATTCAACTGTTGAATTAAGTTTTAAAACACTTATGAATAATATTTGTCCAAGTGAGGAATCTCTCTGTAGCTGATTATATATTTTAAATCAAGGGGTGTTTTGTTGTTTAAGTATAATGCATACTGAATGTGGCTAGGGTAGTTAGTAATTCTGCATTTGGAAATCAAAACCAAAAAATTATTTCCAAGCCTTCTGGAAAAGCTAACAGAGCAGAATCAATTGATTCAGTAATACAAAGAGACCTACAATATGAAAACAGAGACACACATAAGTATAGCACTCCCTATAAAGGGTTAATCAGAATTTCTCACTCTCAACATTATTAACATTTTGGGCCAGACAATTCTTGGTTATGGGGGGCCTTTCTGTGCATTGTAGGATATTTAGCAACATCCCTGGCTTCTGCCTCTTAGCTACCAGTAGCTCCTTCCCCAAAACATATCTCCGAACATTGTCAGATGCCCCTGAGGGCCAAGTTGCCCCTGGTTGAGTATCACTGATTAGATGGAAGAAACATTCCAGTTTATTGAAATCAGCTTAGGAATAAGAATAAAGCATAAATATACAATAAAATCAGAGTTTTAAAACAAGTTAGTAGTAGTAACTCCTAGTGTCTCCAAATGATTCTATGGCCATTAATTAATACAATTCATTTAATATTAAATGAGGCATTTTTTTTCATTTGTAGGGGAACTTAGCCATTTGGTGATTATTAAATATACCAAGGATGAATTTAATAAGTCAGGGCCTTTGTGATGAGCTTTGAAACGATCAAAAAATGTTAGTACTTTCTTCAGTTTTCAAGGGGAGCGATTATGATGCTGTAGATTTAAATTTTACACATAAATAAAGCTTGCATAACTAGTCACTTCTTAGTGAGTTTAACTAAAATTAGTAGATTAAGTGATGGTTACTGAGGATTTCAACTGATTATTCTACCAGGCATGCTGTTTACTTCATAAGGGCTCAACAGTGTTGTAAAATGCCTACCAGCTAGAAATCCTTCAGGTTTGGGGAAATATGTTAGCACTGTTTTAGGTTAGCCATTATTTCTAGTTTTTGCTATTCTTGCTTTTTAAATTACAAATCACCAATAATTTATTACCAGGTGAGTTTTTCAGTGCACGGTGAAGTATACTTGCATCAGTTGTATTTGGGGACTATAATATTACAATAACAAGAATTTAAGACATGAATCATAGTTCACATGTGAATCACTGTGCTTTTATTGCTAAAGCAGACACACAAATACTGCTCCACATTTGCTGGTACCTTGATATTGAATATTTTCTTTTCTCCTGGAAAGCAAGCATGAACTGAGCTAGGTGACTTTTGAGGTCTTTTTGTCCTACTTAAGTAGTTCAAGATTTAAAAAAAGAAAAAGTTTGAGAATTTAACTGTCTTATTTTACCTAAAAGGAAACGGGGGGCCTCAGGAGCTAGGTGACTTGGGCAGATACATACCACTGGTTAGAGCTGGTTCTTTTTCTCTTAGAATAGGTAATGGAAATTGTATCAGAACACTGGTAAATTTAATTTAGTTCTTCTCTTTCACTGAGTTGTTCAGAATGTTTTTCAGATTTAATGTAGTTTATTTTTAATTCAGGTGCAAACTGGAACATACAGTGCTGGATGAAAGAGGACTTGAAATTATTCATCTGTTATATGGAGACATTATTTAAGACTCCTTTCAATACTTATGACCTTAAGGTCCACCTTTTATATATTCTGTAAGTACCAAATAAATTAATTTGGAAATTTCTACAACACAATTTTTTTTTTAACGCAAGAGCTTTCGTATACAGAAGTGGATTATGAAAGCTCTCCTCTCTTTATATTTCCTTTTGTATGTATGTACGTTTCTAGAAGGCAGTTTTATATATACATTTTTTTTAAAGATTTTTATTTGTTTATTTGACAGAGAGAGACACAGCGAGAGAGGGAACACAAGCAGGGGGAGTGGGAGAGGGAGAAGCAGGCTTCCTGCCGAGCAGGGAGCCCGATGCGGGACTCGATCCCAGGACCCTGGGATCATGACCTGAGCCGAAGGCAGATGCTTAACGACTGAGCCACCCAGGCGCCCCAGGTTTATATATTTTTCATGCAATATTCATCTCTATTAGGTTTCCTCTTTGCTCCTCCTGTTGATTAAGGTAGCAAGCCACTACAGTTATGGATGGGCATATATTCTGAAAGAAGGATGAACTCAGTTCAGGCGTCTTAGATATTTGAGTGAGGGGAAAAACTTATTATACATTTCTTTTTCAGGTAGATTTTTTTCTCATCTTTGATCATTTTATTAGCTTAAAAATGTAAGTGCTCAATATTTATTTGTGCTGGCTAGAGAGCCAAGATGGTGGTTTTAAATAGCCATACACTTATAATTCCAGCTAAGACATCATTCAAGTTTTCTAAAAACTCTAGTGATATTACATATCATTTCTATGTGAATTTTAGTTCTTTAAAATTTTTTTCTAATTTGTTCTTTTCTGTGATACTTAAGGAGAAAGAGACTAATTTCTTTCAGTTCTATAGTTTTTGAGATCATACCATTGAGGGGTGATGTGCTAGAAACTGTCCATATAAACATGAGTCAAGATAGGAAGTAGAATGGTGGTTACCGGGGACTAAGGGTGGGGGTAATGTGCAGAGTTTCAGTTTGGGAAGGTGAGAAGAGTTCTGAAGCTGGATGGTGGTGATGATTACCCGACAGTGTGAATATACTACTGTCACTGGACTGTATGCTCAAAATGGTAAATTTTATGTTATGTAAATTTTAAGTAAAATAATTATATTAATTATATATTTAAAACAATCATATTTTAAATTAAAATAATTTATTTTTTAATTTAAATTCAATTAGGCAGCATGTAGTACATCCTTGTAAATTAAAATAATTTTAAAAAAGAAACTTAAAGATGTTAAAAAAAGAAGAGTTATGATCTCTGTCTTGGAGGCATCACAGGCTAGTGGTTGGGGCAGATATGCACATGGCTTCAGTTTTAGTGGTTACTGTTGTATGTTGGGTAGGAACATGAAACCGTGGGAGCACAAGATTGCTGTGGAAGCCTTAGGTGGGGTCTAGTGCCGCTGAATTCTAGATGACTCTGGAAGCCCCTACTAGCCCCTGCTTCTTTGTGCAATTCTCTTTAGGGCCAGGGTCCAGAATGGGACTATCTGGTGAGAACGTGCTCCTAGCCGCCACTGTTTGAGCTGTACGAAATGTTAGATTTTCCAGACAAATGCTGGGCAGCCAGGAAACCTTGATACATGTTCACAACAGAAATGACTGAGCTATAGATCTCTAGAGGCCCACAACGTAACAGGTTGTAAAGTGGGAAGATTGGAGTAATAATGGGTAAAGCACAGCCAAGGGTGGACATTTAAAGGACAGGAAAGAATGAGCTTATTTCTAGTCTGTAGTTCATGACCCAGCAAGGGGAGAAAGGTTGAAGATAGGGTGGGAGGGGACCCATTCAAGATCTATGACTGAGAGTGAATATGTAAATAAGCAAGTTCCAGGAAAAGAGCACAGATGGAAGGTTCGTCTCAAGATGAAGGAGGCTCACTTCAACTGTAAGTAATGAGGAAAGAAAGGAAGCGCTCTTTTGGATGGAGATATATTTGAAGTTTGGAGTAGAAAATTTCCTGCTTTATTGAGCAAAATAGATTTTAGCTCAGACAAAAGAATTCCTTTGCAATGTAGCACATTCCTACGAAGACCTAAATATTTTGGATGGTGATCAGAAATTCTCTAGGTGCCTATTCAAGACAATTTCAAACATTATCAGGAAGCTAGGGCAGTGTGCTTGGGGTTAAAGCACTGTGGCTATGTGTAAGGATTTAAATTTTATTATGTATAGGTTATAGTTATGTCTTGAGGTATGCATTTTCAGAAAAAGACACACATGAATATATCAGAACATTACAAAATTGCGTAGTAACTTACCTACAGCTGAGAATTTTCACTTCACTTTACTCGGCCAAGTAGCCACTGGTCTGTTCATCTAAATTGTCAGACCCAGAAAAATGAGAAAATAATGATACATTAACTAGATTTTTAACTTGCTCATATGATGAATTTAGCAGATTCTTTTGACCTGCTTTTATTTTATTATTATTATTATTATTTTTAGAGAGGGAGAGAAAGAAGGTGGGGGAGGTACAGAGGAAGAGGGAGAGAGAGAATCTTTTTTTTTTTTAATATTGTATTTATTTATTTGACAGAGAGAGAAACAGGAGAGAGGGAACACAAGCAGGGGGAGCCGGAGAGGGAAAAGCAGGCTTCCCGCCAAGCAGGGAGCCCGATGCGGGGCTCGATGCGGGGCTTGATCCCAGAACCCTGGGATCATGACCTGTGCCAAAGGCAGATGCTTAATGGCTGAGCCACCCAGGGGCCCCAGGGAGAGAGAATCTTAAGCAGGCTCCATGCCCAGCATGGAGCCCGACTCAGGGCACCATCTCACGACCCTGAGATCATGACCTGAGCGGAAATCTTAACTGACTGAGCCACCCAGGCTCCCTGACCTGCTTTTATTTTGAACTCAGGTTTTTAAAAATATCAGCCCAGGAAAACTTATCATAACTGCATGCAATTTGAGAAACATTGTGGGGTTTTTTCTCCCCCCCCACATTAGTTGTTCTCTCCTTTATACAATTTGGTTAATATGTCCATTTTACCCATTGTTACATGCTGTTTCTGTCTTGAATTCTATTGTGTGCATCTTTGGGCACTATGTCTCCAAATAATTTAAATAAGAAATTTCATATTAGGAGGAAGAGATGGTCAATATAATGAACAAGACCTCCATGGGAGGGAAAATCCATAAAGGTGGTTACTGTAAGAAGAATTTTTAAATCAATATCCCCTTCTCCAGACATTAGAGAATTCTTGAGAAATCTTTCAAATGCTTCCATGTGTAAATAAGTATGTTTTTTAAAGGAACTAAAACCTAATGTTTATAAGGGATTTAAAGCCCTATAAATATGTCCTGTAAGGGAAAACATTGTTTGAGCTCAGATATGAATGTTTGTAGAGAATCCAAAAGGAGAGATACCATAGAAATGTGCTATTTATAACTGCTTTATCTTTGACCCGGAAGAGAAATCCTTTTCTTCCATTACGAGATGTCTACTGTGCACACCAGCTACTGAGCTGAGGGGTGGGCAACCATGTTGAACAGCTCAGACACAGCCCTTGCCCTCCTGGAGCTAACAGTGAAGACGAGGAGCATAACAAAGTTTGAAAACACTTTGGTGAAATAAACACAGGGACTTGTGAAAACATATACAGACAGGCAGCAGAAGTATCTGTGTGGATTACGAGGGGACACGGGATGAACCAGGTAGAGTGAGGAGCATTTGCAAGGTCCCACAGTCACATCTGAACATTTGAGGACATGAAAAGGTAAGTCTGGTTGGGTTATAAAGCTGGGGAATGGTGAGAAGTGGAGATGGATGAATAAGTAAGGGCCATCCAAGGGGTTGGGACTTCCGTAACTGTTAACCCCTGCTTTACTTTTTCTCTTTACTATTCCCCCATCAGCATTCTTGGTGATTTCCATGTCCATATAGATGATCTTCAATTTCTTGAAGGCTTTACTTTCCCTATTCTTGTTTCTTCACCCCATCTAGTTCTCCCATTCTCGTGGACCTACTCCAGACCTTACCATTACTGGTAAGCATGCTCTGTCTGTAATTTCAGTTTCAAGGATCCCACTCTCTGACCATCTCCCCTTCCTCTTAACCTTAGGCTTATTCCCCCTATTACCTCAACCTCAGGAATAATTCTCCGTGTTTCTTGGCTCTGCCTTCTGAGTTTCTTTTTCCTGAAGGGCTGCACATCTCTGCAATGGGGGTGGGGGGGCAGTGTTCCTCAGCATGCCTCCTGTCAGCACAGTTCGGGAATCCAGTGGCTTCGTTTCATTTTGTACCCTTTCAGTCTGAGCTAGTAGTGTTTCTGCTACCATGTTCTCTCACAAGAACACACAGCCTTATGTGAATCTCACTGGGGTTCACCCCATTAGATGAAAGCCTGAAGATCTCTTAGAGATAAGCCCTCCTCTACCTTCTCTTTGATCTTTGCTTGGAAGCCATTTTCTAGCAGTGACATCTTCGCCATCTCGAGCGGCTAGGCATCTCGCAGCTCTCAAGTCTTGGTTTCTTTTGTTTAACAGCCCTTTGCTTAATGTGTATGTCTCCTCTTGTGGCAAGAAGAAACCAAGAGGCCACCTTCAAACACCTGCCTGGCAATTTCCTGCAGCAGATTGCCCAGTTCAGGAGGCACACACTATGTGCGACTTAGCTTTTTGCCCCTACATAAGATTCTCTTTCTTCCAGTTTCCAGTCCATGTTCCTCACTTCCTCTTGTGCCCTCACTGACGGTATCCTCAAACTCCACATTTCCACTCGAGTCTATTCAAGGCAATTTAGGCTTTCTTTAGCATGCTTCTCCAAATTGTTCCAGCCTCTGGTTCTAAAGCCACCTGGTTCTAAAGCCACTCCCACATTTTTAGGTGCATTTGTATGGCAGCATCCCATTTCCAGGTACCAATACCTGCCTTGGTTATCTATGGTGTATAATAAGCTACCTCAAGTTTAGTGGCTTAAAACAACAATCATTTATCATCTCACAGGCCATGTGGGTCAGGAATCCAGGTAGCAGCTTAGCTGGGGACATGTGCCTCGAGGTCTTTCACAAGGTTGCAGTGAAGATGCCAGCTAGAACTGC